TTTCGGCAATTACACCTGTCATCAATTTCCACATCAATGGTAAGCAAGATATGGGTCGAAAGTTATCAACTGCATTACCCCTTGATGGGTCTTTTAAGCACAACACTGTCCTACCATATGTGATCCATTGAGGTAGTTCAGCCTTACCATTTTAAATCTTATTTAAATTATTATTATTATTATTATTATTATTATTATTATTATTATTATTATTATTATTATTATTATTATTATTATTATTATTATTATTATTATTATTATTATTGTTATTATTATTATTATTATTATTATTATTATTATTATTATTATTATGCAGTGATCAGCGTTGGGGGCGGTCATGCTTTCGGCGCTCCTGCTATATTTTTAAAAGCTTTCTTGTTTAACTGCACTTTCGATAGTTCTGAGCTTTTACAAATTCAGTATGAAGATGAAAGGCTTCTACTTGGCAAATATTATGTTGTTCTGGTTGATTATGGGGCAACTCTGGACTATTAAAGCAACAATCTGTGAATATTGTGGCAAAGATTTTAAATCTTTGGGGAGACACATTTGGCGATGCAAATCTCGCGTTGGTCATCCGTCTCATGCTGAAAATGAAAGGCAAAGTAATAACGAACGTTCGTCGAATACAGAAAGGACTGACCACCAAGTCATTAGCGAGCTTAAGATCTACAACGCGAACTTACGACGCGGACGTGCTTAGCTAAGCCTAGTTTTCGAGTGTAAGCCTAGTCAGAGTTGTCACAGTTTTTTTCTGCGAGATTTGTGACACTGTTATGACACGTTAACAGCCATACGAAATGATAGAAACCAGGCTTTATAGACTATTGTTACGAATGCACATTTTCCCACCAAAACTACCATCCGAGACGACGTGATATTTGCAAAGATTCGTCGTCATAGAAGTCGTAAAAACTTATGATAAAAAATATCTTCTTAATATATTGCTAGCCTCTGTTATGTTGTACATTTTTTCCAGTATAATTTCATTTTATTTACTGTGATAAAAATATTTTAATGGTATTTGCCATCGTTTTAAAATAAAACTTGTTTAATGCGACGTCCGCGTCGTAAGTTCGCGTTGTAGATCTTAAGCTCGCTAATATCAATGCTGACGGTGAGCTGGTGGGTGAGTGTGCTAACTTTAGATGCTATTGTGGCCGTATGTTTTTAAGCTATCGCTCGTTGACTTTGCATCGTCGATCATGCTATATAGGGAATAGTAGCGGCAACCTTTCGGACTTATTTGTTGAAGTGAACAACCCTAATTTGTGTTGAATTAGTTGATATTACGTCATGCATTCTGATTCGAACGTTTGGTGTATCCATTTTAGTGCCTCGTGTAATTGTTCGTTGCAGTTCTTGTTCAAGTTGTATCTCAATATATTTTACTCATTAAATGTTCATATTTTATCACAAAAATGTGACTGTTCGAATAAATATTCAAATCCAATAGGTTATGGGCCCAGTGGCTGAAGTATTCGAAGTTTTTAATCGAGATATTGCGATAAATTTAATCGTTAAATCGTATTTTGAAACTGGTATGGAAGCATGACAAAATAAATATGGCGGAATCGAAAACTGTTACGGTTGTACCGTTGAATGGGTCGAACTATGGGACTTGGAAAGTCCAGTGTCGCATGGCTCTCGTGAAAGACGGGCTGTGGAGCATTGTTTCTGGAAATGAAACTGCTCCTGCTTCGACAGAAGCTGAAAAATATGCGAAGTTTGTTAGTCGTAGAGATAAAGCACTGGCGATTATCGTGCTTTCGGTACATCCTTCGCTGTTATATTTGCTCGGAGATCCTGAAGACCCTGTAGCCGTATGGAAGAAATTATCAGACCAGTTTCAGAAGAAATCGTGGGCAAACAAACTGTCTTTAAGACGACGTTTAAATAATTTGAGGCTGAAAGAAGGGAATTCTATGTCAAGTCATATAAAAGCGATGACTGAGGTTTTCAATGACTTGGCTGTAATAGGTGCGCCAATGGAAGATGAAGACAAGGTTGTAACCTTGCTGGCAAGTCTCCCTGAAACCTATAATATGCTTGTAACTGCACTCGAAGCGAGTTCTGAAGTCCCACAAATGGAACTTGTAACTGAACGTTTGCTTTATGAAGAAACAAAGCTGAATGAGCGAGAAAAGTCCCCCAAAGCCTCGGGTAAAGTTATGGCGGCCTCGAGGACTGATAGGAAATCAATTAAATGTCATCACTGTGGAAAGTTTGGACATATAAGACGTTTTTGTAAAGATTTGAACAAAGACAAAATCGCAAAGGAGTCTAAACCACCTTTAAACAAGGGACAACAAGCTGGAAAGGGGCAGTCTGGTTCTCGTAGTGAAAGTTTAGGATTTGTTGCACAAAGTTTGGCAGCAAATACATGTGGAACTAACAGTGAAACATGGATTGTTGACTCTGGTGCAACATGCCACATGTGTAACAACAAAGCTTTGCTTGAAGACTTTGTTGAATTCAATGAGCCTGTTGATGTAATGCTTGGTGATGGAAAAGTTCTGAATGCTGTTGGAAGTGGCATTGTTACAGTATGTACTAATCTTGTGAATGGAAAGCAGCAAGAGTGTAAACTACATAATGTACTTTTTGTTCCGAAACTGAGCTATAATCTACTAAGCGTATCGAAAGTGACTGAAGCTGGTAAATCTGTTAGTTTTGAAGAAACAAAATGCAATATTTCATGTAGTGACGGGGAAATTATTGCAATTGCAAAGAAAGTTGGATGTTTGTACTATATGGATTTTCAACCTATCTTAGAATGTTCAAATGCTGTATCAAATGAAGGAACTGAACTCTCAAATGAAATGTTATGGCATCAACGTTATGGACACTTGGGAGTCCAAAGTTTAAAGCGATTAGCAAATGAAGATTTAGTTGAAGGTTTCAACTTTGATACAAAGAAAGATTTGGAGTTCTGTGATGCATGTGTACAAGGAAAGTTACACCGGTGTTCGTTTCCTAATAGTGGTGCAAAGAGAGCTAGTGAACCACTAGGCTTAGTGCATAGTGATGTGTGTGGAAAGATAAACACTAAGTCATGCGGTGGTGCTGAATACTTTCTAACATTCACAGATGACAAAACTCGCTATGCCTGGGTGTATCCATTGAAGCAAAAGAGCGAAGTGTTCAGTCGGTTCTTGGAGTGGAAAGCTGTTGCTGAGAAGTCAAGTGGACATAAGCTAAAAACTCTAAGAACTGATAATGGTGGTGAATTTACTTCAAATGAATTTGAGAACTATTTGAAATTAGAAGGAGTT